GATTCATGGTAAGTGATGACTTCGGTGACATTCCTGTCCGACTCAGCTCAGATGGTGAACATGGTAAACTTTACACCTGATACACCACTTGTTAGCATTGTCACTGTGAGCATGTTGCCATACTTGCTTTAGCATATAGCTCAAAGCACCGCTTTGCCTGAATAAATAATATTTACCAAAGAATACAATGAATGTAGGAGTTAAATTATACCCTCCTATGTCCAATCCACTCTCATGTCACACAAGTCAGGGTGTCACAGTGGATACTGTACTGGAATACTGTATTATACTGTATACTATGTGATACTGTATTGGACAACCTCATATGAGAAGGCTTGTCGGTACAGAAAAAAAAAACAACTAAAACAATGGGTTGCAATAACTTGTGGTTCCCTTTGGGTCTGTCACTGATTGAATAAAGAGCATTGGTTTGTGTTATGAAGTGTTCCCTCCCTCCCTCCTCCACCTAGGAAAAGCTAACAGCCCTAACCCCTGTCCTGCCACACCTATCATACACAGGCTACACACACATTCCCCCTCTCACACTGCTTTCATCTGGGCGTGAAATGGATTCCTACTGTCTGCCAGAATGCACCACCTATCTCTGGATGTGATTCTCTTTCACCCTCCTCTTTTCCTTTCTTTCATTTCTCTGTGCCACACGTGTGCCCTTTTGTTTCCAAAGAGAAATGCCTCGCCCACTATGTTAAGTCCACAAAAACACATTCCCGGGTGGTTATGACAGAAAATGATTAGAAATCCCATCGGAGCTAATATTTTATAAGAAAACTTGAATTAGATCTAAATCAGAAACACATGACGGCCCTAACCTTTTTAAAAACAAACCACAGTCATCCCTGGAATCCCCAGGAGAAAGGCATGTTCATGAAATTCCTTCATAACTGGCACAGACACACACACACACACACACACAAACACACACATACTGAACGTGTGAGACGCTGTAGTATAAAATATTGATACCTCCCGCTGCCACATGATTTTACATGTCCAGAAGCAGAAAGTTTGTTTTTGGAAAGGAAGGAACTGAGGTTATGCAAAATGATGGTCTTGTCACAGCAAGTAATGAAAGTAAACCCAGTTCCAGGCAACTGCCTCTCTGATGCTGCAATCTGTCAACAAAAGCTACATAATTTGGTGTGATTCAGCTATTCTGCTTTTTGTCTCTTATAGGGTTGGCCCAGTGTCGGCTCAGTGACCCTGTTATAATTGGATACACATTATTTGGATCATAACAATCTGCAGTCACTTGAAATCGACCATCTGACCAGATATCTGTAGGAATAAATTGTAACTCTGCAGAGAGGTGATGATAAGGAGTTAAACTTGAAGGTTTCAATGAACCAGGTACCGATCGGTTCTCAGTAAGGTCTAACTTTCATCACTTGAATTGCCAGAAGAATTTGAATTGTTCAAGTGATATCTGACAGAATCTCCTCCTGCACTGCCATATTTGTACACAGGCGGAAAGTAGAGGAGAAAACACAACCAACTTTAAGTTTTTACCCTCAAGTTTGGCAAGGTGTTAATGCTTTTAAAAATGCATTTCTCTCTAGAGGGTTGTTTCATTGCTTTTGAAGGCAGAACTAATAAAAAAGGCCATATTCAGAACATAAAACTGGAAACACATTTATACTCTTAGTTCACATTATGAATTTAGAAGATAAAGTATAACAGCTATAGTTATTACTTTGCAGGTTACAGGTGTCCTATGGAGTTTTTGACCCCTAGTAGCACTATCGAGCAATGTTTTCAAAGGACAGTTTTTATTTGTTATTGTGCCTGCACACAAGCATGTCCTCACACAATCAAGTGGGTGACCCGATAAACATTCTGCCGATGGATTCATGCTGTTCCACTGATCCACAAGTCGTGGTAATGTGCCAGTAAAGGCAGGGAAGAAGCAAACTACAAGCTAGAAACAAATCCAAACATGCATGTAAACATTTGCATACTGTTTGTTAGACTTGAAGAATATCACAATGTGTTTTGTTGACACTTACATTGATAACACTGCCTGGAAAATCCACAGAGGACCTTTAAGGTTTACATTCAAAATATTGTATATGTGATGGGTTAGTATAACATAGTATGATGCATTGTTATAGATTAAACTAAACAGCAGTATATAAAAGGTAGTGAACTAAGCTCCCTCTCAGTTTGTTAGAATGCTGTTCACATGTTGCAATAATAATAATCAAATTACACAATATGTTCTCAAACCTGGTGGCCAGCTGGGTCCCTGCAGTGGTCTTGTCTCCGGGTGCTCCATGTGTGTCTATGTGAGAGCTTTGTCACTGGTTATCTGTCCAGTGTGACTTTCTAAGTCACAAGAATAGCTACTGGATGAAAGAATGGATGGATACAGGGCCTATTCTGCTCCATTATGAGCAACTTGATGAGATATTCTGGAGAAAGATTCCCAGGTCAGAATCAGAAGCTGTTGAGGACATCAGAAATGCTGACTGTGTGAAAACTCCTTTAATCTTAGATGGATGTTTTGATCTGTTTTTAAAATCTGAACCGAAGCTTAACATGGTTGGCTAGTGTCACAACATGAGAGACCTAATTTAACATCTTATGCCAAGTCTCAAAACACTTTAGCATCAACGTGATGAACAACCAGACTTTTCTAATTTCCCAGTAAATTCAGATTTTTAATCCAATAGCAGCAATATTTTAGGAAAGACTGGGACAGAGTAGACATGTTCTCCAAATGCGTCACATCCATTTGTGAGTAATGATAACATCACAGCTGAACTTTTGATTATTAGATTAGATTTGGCCAAAGCGTGGTGTGATGTTATTTCCATACACTGTGTGTTTGTGCACAGATAGAGGTACAGGCATGTGTTTCCATTGTGTTAATAACATTTTGTAAGTTTCCAACACGTTTGCCAGTTTCACTCACTAGCACAAGGAAGTGGTGTTTTTGTTTATAATACTTTTTTTATTAGTTTTGTGTGTAGTATTTGTAATCCAAATTCAGAAGTGTACTTATGTCACAAGCTGGAACATACAGTAGGTGTAGCAACACAAGTGTATTTTCTCAAGAAGTGAAAACTTAATAATTTATTTACTATTTCACTTTCCTCTCCCAACACATACAGGCAGACACACAGCCTGAGTGACTATTCAGTGTGAATCATCAGCATTACCGGCAGAACAGTAACTTTATTACAACAGATATTATCTAGTCTGCCTAGCTCTCTGTTTGAAAGCTCTGGGTCTTTTTCCTCTTTCTTCTTTGTCCAACCTCATGTCCAGAGGGCTTGTGGTATTGCACAGAGATAGAAAAGGAACCAGCCAGATGGGTAACACAAACACACACACAAACACACACACACACACACACACACACACACACACACACACACACACACACCTATACCCACACACACAGACACACAGACACACAGACACACACACACACACACACACACACACACACACACACACACAGATTGTCTTGGAGATATGGGGTGCAGATGACTTTTGGATCAGCCTTCACTTACTACGCTGTGTTTCACCAGCCACACATATGCATACACATGAGCACAGAGCACTCAGTACATACACTAGCTTTTCTAACTGAAGCACTTTCCAGTATTGAATACTTAAACTCCAATATCAGGATCTGGAGGAATCTGGTGTTTTGTGTTTGAAGATCAGTAGAGGGCTTCATTTCTTTAATAAATGAACTGCAATCTAATTCAGACCACATATCAACACCAGTGCAACCTCAGTAATCAACACAAGAAAACACATACAAAGATTTTCATCCAAAACAATGTTCTCTGAGCACTGCCAAATAAAAGCAAACTCTGCATTTAAAGATTTCCAGACATATGCACATCGGAGTAAAATCAATGCGTCACTGAAGCAATAACTGATTTTCTGTCATTTTTTTATGAGAACAAATGACAGAATGTGGATAAAATTAAGCTCAGCTGTGACTTGAGGCAATGCAAGGTAAGTCGGTTTCTTTGTATATAGCACCATCTTGTGGGGAAATAAAATTTGCTGACTTGATAGAGAAAACCGGGAAGAGGAGAAGGTGGGACATGAAGTTGAAGTGAGTAATGGCTATTAAATTCATTATGATTCACACTTATAACAGCAATCCAAGTGACTACACATTCCAAGATGACAGGAAGACATTTAAGATTTACTGATTCATGCTCTCCAATGACTTAATTTGTGCAAATTAAACCATGAAGTTAAACAGTACCATGAACACATTGCAACAGGAACCCATGCGTCTTCAAAACAAAACAACTTTAAAACTAAGAAGCTCATTTAGATTAGAAATCCCATGGTCTGATAACATTTGCACTGCATCAGAAGGACACATAGTGTGTGTATATTGAACTCACAGCACTCAAAAAAACAGCTTAACTATATAGTGTTGAAAGGACAAGGAGAAATGTAATGAATGTGGTAACGTAATGATACTGTATACTCAAATAAATACTCACAACACCTACCTGGCTCTGTATTTTGCATTAGCTTTAGTTTGTTTTGAAGGTCTTTGTGAAGAGCAGCTTCCTTTGGGTATAAAAGATCATTGTGCCACTTTGTGATAGGTCCTGTTACACAGAGTTTGTAAGTTGTAACTAATAGCTTTATAAATGTTAATTAATTATTTTCTAATGCTTTAAAGATCAGTTCCAAGCTGTTATTAAGAAATGTTTTTGTCTTTACCAGATTGTGAATAATTCATCCAGCCTTCCTTGGTTTAATGGATAGTTTGCCTTTTGGAAAAACAGCAGAGAATACAAAATAACCAACATAAATAAATATAAATATTTAATTTAATTTAATCCATCAATTAATGTATTTTTTGTATTTCAAAGTGATTCAGTGATATTCCTGAAATCCATCTGATTAGAGCATTTTAGAAAACGTTTTTATTTTTATTTATTTAATTATCTATTTAATACAGCATATTAATTCCATGTTTATATTTAATGTTTTAGTGCTGGTTACTAATGATGATAGAGGAATATGACAAGCTCCTACGAGACCAGATCTGGATTACAGTCTTTTCCTGCAATCCCCTTCCGGCCAATGAAAAAGCATGTGAGTATCAGAGAAGGAGGAAGCAGCTTTAATAATACACAGGCAGTCTGTAATATACGGTTTAACCACAGGGTGGCAGCACATGTAATCTTACCATTGACAACCTATTACCAAACGCTGTTCTGTAATATGCTGCAGCCCTTTTAAAATCCTAAAGACAGTGTGAGGTGAGGCCACATTTTCCTTGTGTTAGCCTCTTATATTTATCTCCCTTTAGCTTCAGCTTGTTGACTTTACACAGTTCGACCCTGTGTGTAAACGCATTTAAATGCACTGACAGTGACTTTTCTTGTCTATGGGGTGTTCTGAGACAGGAAGAGGATTTTAAATCACTGAAACAACAATGAAGTCCAGACTAGGAGAGACAGACGACTGTCCTCGTCTGTCAGAGCGGCGGGCCAGCACACCTCAGCTTGTTGTCGTCTAAGTCGTGGTCTAACTCATTGCAGCCCAATAGGCAGATGCTCTAGTTCCACAACAACCGTGCACAACGTGTGTGTGTACTTTTCATGGCACTCACTGCAGTGTTGTGCAGCCCCTCTCCCCACCCCGCGGCCCATACCAGAGGAAGGAGAGAATGCACTGACCCTGTACAAGTTTGGCAGACTACCTATAACAGCTGCGAGGCCAGCCCCACACCTGTCTCCATACAGCCCATACACCAAACCACAGAACAATGCAGCTGTCAGTATGCAGTCTCTGTTTGAAGAGGAGGTGATCTCTGAGATGTGCTCCAGACTGGCAGGCTACCCCAGCAATGACAGGGCAGAGGGACTGGCAGCTTTACTCGGAGCATGTGTTGAATTTGGCTTAGATGCCGACAGCCCTCTCGGCCTAGTCTAGACTGATGAATGAGTGGACGGAGCTCCTCTCCAACAGGGACATGGAGGTGGCACAGCTCTGCAACCTCGGTGAGGTGGCTTACGCCCTGGAAGGCCGTCGGAGGTCCTAAACTCTATAGATGTTGCTGTAGAAGAGGACGTCCTCTCTCCGAGCGAGGCTGTCAGAGTCTACTCCCTGCTGGCTCTGTGTTACAATCCTGCCAGCAAGCAGCAGACACACAGAGGCTGGTCCATCAGCTGAAAGCTTGTCAATGTCGTGAATTTAATGTGACTACTAAGGTACACAACATCAGTGTCACCGCTGTATTTGCCAAACACAGTACATAACAATTGAACAAGCTGAAGTACGAGTTCCACCAAAGATTCCTCTGTGGCTTGTATTGGTTGATCCTTAATTTGCTGTAGAAACCAACCTACGACCTGAACTGCATGGACAATTGGCTGAGTGATGCACTCTCTGTATGTACAATGTGAAGAAGAGATCCGGAATGGCAGAAAACAGTTTTGTCTGTGATATTCAACTTAAGCACATACATATCGTAATGGCAAGCTACTAATCTTCACAGGCATAATAAAATAAGCATATTTTAACTGAATTTACTGTAAAATAAATAAAAAAATAAACTTCTGACATTTTTATTTATTCCAGTTCCCCTATTTTTGTCTTTTTTTTTTTAAACAGCGTGCCTTGTTTTGAGCATGAAAGTCAAAAAGGAAATAGATTTACAAGGATTATCGTTTAACACAAAAGCATCTGATATCAAAGCTGTCTTCTCCCTCTGTTTCCATTTATATTGAAGCTGGATGTGGGTCATTTCTTTCTTTGTTAAAAAGATAAAAAAAAGATAAAAAAATGAATAAATTACACCCCTTTCAAGCCCAACTGCTGAAGAGGGGTAGTCATAACAGCTGAAATACTACTTCTCTGGCACTTGGTGTGACTTTATATCTTATATTTGCATCTTATGTCCGGAACTTAGCACTATTTTAATGGCCATAGTTACACTGACTTTACCACTGATTTCAAAGAGCAAAATATTTGTTTTTTGTATGTTGTTATTTATGAGCTACATGGACATGACTATTTATGATTAATTTAAATATAAAATATAATTATATAATTACTATATGTAAATATCAGGTTGCATTGTTGTGTGACCTCATTTAATGTGATGTTTGAAGATATACCATAAATTGCCACACAGTATCCTTTGGGCTGGTGGTTGATTCTTCAAAACAGTTAAGAACCGTTGATAGAACATGTACACAGCACAGGGTGAAATATTGTGAAAGGAGAGCTATGAAGATATTTCCCTACTGTACTCATATTGTTATTGACAGTTATTGGTGTTGATTTAATCAGACAGACATGGAATCAAGGCCTAAGGTTAAACAAATGAGACAGGAAAAGTAAAATCCAAATGTTCTGTAAATTGTTGTTTCCAATACTATTCGTGAAAAAAGTTTTACATGCAGTGTAATATAATAATATCATATCTAACAGTCTTCCAAAATGTCATATAATGCAAATAAAACACATTCTAGTATTCTGAACATCATGGTCAACAAACCTGTGGTTACATTTCAAATGTTTCAGTACTTTCATCAACCTGCCATTAAAACCACTCAACTGATTACGTTTTTGGATGCTAATACACAAAGTGTCATAGTACTCAAATAATATGTTGGAATCTCTTTTATTGATTCCCAAAAATGTCTTACTACAACTGAAACAACATTTACGAAATGTTTATGGAAGAGTCTGGGAGGAAGGAGGCTGTAAAGAGAGACACATGAATACAGCAGTTGGGCTGGAGGAGGGAAAATGATGGATGGCACTGGGTGGAATACAGTAAAGCTAACAGGTCAAGAATCAGGGCAAAGTGAACATGGGAAATATAAGATGTATTTTAATGAAGACAGACATCTGGGATGTTGGGTAGAGGGGTGAGACTTAACTTTCTGCTGTTTCCTGTTTGTTTTTCAAATGTTCTGTCTCATCCTCAGCCACGGCTTTGGACGTCCTCCTGGTCCTAATGGAACACACAATAAGTTAACCATTGTATTTTTGACTGCTGGAACAAATAGAGCAAGGAGATAACACTACCAGAGCTACTATATCTGTCTGTCTTCACCTGGTAGAAACAGGTGGCAAGATAACAGTGCGAGGGTGCGCTGTTAGGACAAGCTCCCCTCTGACAGCTTCCATCATCAGGTTCTGAAGGGTGTTCAGCAAAACATCCTCCATCATGTCAGCAGGCACATGTTCTGTGTGCAGAGTGTTCTGTGTTTCTGGCCTGTTTCCTGAACATCCTGCAGTCCCCTCACTGTCCACAGGGTTGTGCTGTTCTTTGTGCCCTGTCATTGTCCCACTTAACGGAACCTGAGGCTGCGGTACACAGTGAGAAGATGTGGGACAGTGAGGAGGAGGGAGGGAGGATGGAAACGAGGAGCAGTGAGAGGGAGTATTTTCTCCAAGCTGATAGGATATGGGCTTTGGTGCCGAAGTAATCAGAGACTGGGTGAAGGCTGGATCATCAAGTATGCCCCTGGAAAGGGAGAGAGGGAGAAAGACTCATAAACACACACACACACACACACACACCATTGCTGCAGTTATCTTAACATAACTAAATATAATCTCCATAAAAACTAATCCAAGAATTCGATCTAATACCAGATAAGTTGGCTCAAGTACATAAGTCATGCATGCATGTATCTGAATGTCTGTGCAAATGTTACCTGAGCAGAGAGGTGAGTACATGTGTGATGATCTCTCTCTCAGGGCCATGTGTCTGCAGCCCGGCAGAAGAAGTGGTTTCAAGTTGCTGGGGCTTAACTGACTGGAGCCATCTTAGGAAAACAGCACAGATGCAAAATGTTTCTGCTACTACATATAGAACGAAGCTCTTCTGGATGCTCAAGTTCCTAAGTTTATACATGAGGGATATTCTTATGTAAAGTCTGTGCATCAATATTCAGTCTGTGTTTGTTGTCTGTGAACTACAGAAAGTGCTTTACCTATAGCGCTCATTGAACTGCTCAGGGAAGTGTGTGAGGTACTCCAGAAGCTCATGGGAGTGTGCTGTAACCTCCAGGTGCAGTAGAGAAGGTTGTGGGGGTTCAGGGCGCCTACATACTTTTGCCATTTCTCGCTGTGCCCGCCGCTCAGCTCTTGTTACCTTGGTACATATAGTGCCCAATGCCTCACAACTACTACTGCCGCAGATAGGAGGAAGAGTCTGCAGGTGAAAGAAAGTGAGTCAAAAAGGTGCGGTCAAAATAAAGCTGTGCTTTATAAACCCTTTAAAACATTTTTTACTGCACATCTTTACACAAAACATCCCTTCTATTTTCAACAAATAGGGACCACCTTGTATTTCCTGAATGATGGCCCTTTTCTTACTGGAGCTCCTGTAAGTTCCTGTAACAAGATAAAGGGTGAATATGGTGAAGAATGGTTATGGTTACTGTCAAAAACATGACTTTGAATTTGAGGAAGGACCTCATCTATCAGAACTCTTTTGCTTTCTGTATGTTTTTTGTCCGTGATAGTAAATTCATCTTGTTGTCTCTCTTTCTCTTCCTCCCAACGCTGCAAAGCATCATGATACCGAGTCAGTGCGGCTTCCTGAATAACCTGTAAAAGAGAGTAGAGCAGAGTAGAGGAAGGGAGAGGAGATGAAAGAGAGGAGAGGAGAGGAGACTTCATTGAATATTGGACTGAAAAAAACAACAAAAAACAGAACTAATATTCTGTTTGCCATTAAATGCAGCTTCAAATCTACACTAGTACTGCTTAGGTACCTGACAGATGACATCTAGCTGATAACAAGTGGGGTAGTCAGTAGAAGTGAATGTAAGAACACAAAGGGCACTCTCCCTTGGACACAGACTACCTCGCTCTGGATGGATCTGCACCACCTGAACAAAGAATCTTCATCAGTTTTCACAAAATAACAAAATTATGGGAGAATAACTGATTGAGTATGACAGACAGCCCAACCCAAAGAGGCAGGATGTTTCTTCCTAAAAATGGTGAACTTTACACACATGTATAAATGTTAGTCACAGGCTTTATGTACACCTCCCTGTACCTGCTGATTGTCCTGCTGGAGCAGGTCCCATGTGTAGTGAACAGTGTCTGTGTGGGACACATTGGTCAGGAATAGGATTCTTGAAAATTGTGAGCACACAGGGATGTTGCCTAGAGAAACACTGTCCTCAGACAGGAGTACAACCTGAACACACTCACACACACACACACACACACACACACACACACACACACACACACACACACACACACACACACACACACACACACACACACACACATTGAGATTGAGCACACAGCCTCAAATGGTCAAAGACACAAAGACAAGAACACTTACAAGGAGCAGACTGATGGTATTCAGCAGAATAAACTCTAACTACAATATGATTTGAAAAGACCATGAACTGCTCTCACCTGTCCTGGAAAAGGCAGCCTCTGGACAGAGGGTTCAGATGCCTCAGTATCAATACAGTTAAATGGGTTTTTGGATCCCAGTGCAGGAGAATGAAACCCACATCCCTCAAACCTCACTAGCGTGGAGTCCCCATCCTGGATGTGGATCAGAATATCCATCTGGGGATACACAGAAACTGACTCAAAATCACAGAGATAAGAGATTTAGGTACTAGTTAGTCAATGGTATAAATGATATAAGTCATTATTCTGAATAAATGAATGAAAAAAAAAGTATTGTTTACTTCTGTTGATGTTTAGTAACATTGGCTATGACTATAGAACTACAGAGAAAACATGTACAATTGAGAGAAATATGGGCCCTACAATAAAAGCAGGGTCAGTGGTAATAGGGGAAACAGAAGGTAGGCAGAGAATGGTTTGATCCTTACATAGTACATTTTAGCCTCCATTGGAGAGAAGATCCATTCCAGCAGGATCGTCTTTCCAGGTAAGACCTCTCCCTCTGGATTCAGGCAGCACAGCACTGGATGATTAAAGTTATCCACCTGTAGCTGTGACAGCACAGCCTTGTCCACCTCATAATGGACTGGCACTGCACCACCATTGTGTAGTTCATACCCCTGCAAATATAAATGCCAAGTCATCTGTGTTTTGTCTAGACTTAAAGAGAAGCTTATAGATAGAGAGGAACACATTTCAGTCCAACAAGCAATGGATCTCCAAACAAATTATTATGTAAAGTCTGGGAATAGTAGTAGTAATAGTAGTAAGATTAGTATGGACAGTATGGGAAAATTTGCTCTGGTTGTTAGCCTTGATACTGTATTTGTCACTTTATCCTTAATGACAGATTGTATTCAATTGCTGCTTAATGGATACGATCTGTGTTGAGATTTCTGATGGAAACCAGTGCTGCAAGATTAATAACAGGAGGAATTTATGAAAGTTGTTTCACTGGATATGAGTAAATCTATGAAATATTATCAATTAGGGTACAATATAATTCAGCTCACTGTGAATAGGCCACTCAAAATAGGCTTTATGTTATAGAAATTAAACACTCACCTGCCTCGGCGGAGTACAGTCCCCAATCGTTACAGAAGTGAAGACATGTCGCTTGGAAGCAAAGTGGAGATACAACCTGTCTCTTTCCACCGTCACCCCCTGAAAGTTCAGCTACATGCAGGACCACAACACAAGCATATGAAGTTAACATAAAGTATCTAACAAATATAAAGAGTTCACCATACTTAGGGCTGTATCGCTGAAGTGAAAGAACTGTGAATTTCAGCAAAGAAACTACTGTAATTTAAATTTTGATTCTACTGGAATAGTCAAGCTAATTTTGTTTTTGTGTCGCTATCCTAAATTATGAATAAATATGGGCCTCATGTAGATTTAGAAGAAATTCTGCCTCACCAAAATCTCTCTGCCATAAGAAAGTTTGAACACGACAGGAAACCGATCTGTCCCAACAAAGTCATGGCTGTGAAGGACAAAGTTTAGATTATTTGGGGATCATGTTAGTAGTGTAATCTGGTGCCCAGAAGAATAAATACATAAAAGCTTAAATTCTACTGATTTTAGGCAACTCTCACCCTTGCTAATATTAACAAATTATCTGATTTATCATTCTGTGCAGTATCCTTTGCAATGATCTCACCTGTAGCTGAAGAGTACTGCCCTCTGCTGACCAGGGAGCAAAGTTCCAGAACGGGGAGAAACGCTGAACAGATGGTTGTCCTGAACCTGCCAGTTAGATGAAGATACCTTTGCTTTGTGTCTGTAATTTTTGTCAATTTCAATCACGTAGTTATTAAAAAAAGTATTTAAATTGAAAATTCTGAGATGAAGAAAAGAAATGCCCGACCTTCATCTGGTACAGCTCTGTGCTGCTAAACTCTCCTGTCTCAGCCCAGTACTCCAATTCTATCTGTTGGTCTTCTGGAAACAAGAATGCCCTAATATTGAAGAGAAGGCCATTTCAGAGGATTATTCAAATCTCTCTATCAAGCTCACTTTGTATAAGCAATGTTAGTAAAACTGCAGTTATCTTTGACGTGGATGGACTGTATTCTTTACGGTTTACTTTTTCTCACCAGTCTACAGGAATGGAGCAAGGGTTGTGAAACATCAACGCAAAAGTTGAGGGGTCTGAATTCAGGGGAGCGGCACTGAAGTTAAAATCCAACATGGCTTTAGTGAAGATGGAAGGACAAGAGCGCAGACTAGAAACAGAAAAAGAATACAAGGTCATACCTCCATCCTCCACACCTTGGCATTATACAACATATATATTCAAAAAGATGTGCATTGCATCAGTACTGTTGAAATCTGTTTTGTAATAAATAATCTAATTATGACATTACAAGTGGAACCAAACTGTATGAAATTCAAGATATTTACAACTCTCACAAAATAATCTATAATTTTCTTCAAAGTACAATGTTTAAGCATAGTTGTGCCCCTAACCTGTGCCTGGTGGGGGTTCTATACGTGAGTTCTGCAGAGGTGGGGTTGGAGAGAAGGTGCTCGTTGAGGCTGCCAAGTGAGAAGAGTTTCCACAGAAGCACCTTGCTGAGTCTTCCCACACTGCCACCACCGCACACATCAATCACCTTGAGGGTGGGAAACACGCCCTTAGCTCGCACTTCACACACTGCTTGGGGAGGAGATGACACAAATCCTGGTGGGAGAGACAGATATAGAAAGCTAGCACAAAAGGGCGCACAATAAAATATCACTTAGCAGAATACCTTTAGGTGTGTGTGTGTGTGTGTGTGTGTGTGTGTGTGTGTGTGTGTTTTTTATATCTACCACTGGCATTCAGCGTCTGGTAGCTGATGGTCCACAGGTGCTGGGCTCGTCTTTGTGGTCTGACAGTGGATCGAAGCAGCAGTGTGGAGTGTGAGGCGATGGTTCCCCTCTCACAGTCCAGCTGTAAGGCTTAAGGCCAAACAGGACAAATTTAGTCTACAACACTGATTCAGCTGCTGTACTTTTTGTTACATCTACAGACCAGACAGGCTCTACATTGAGGACTCTTTATTCACCTTACTAAAAAAAAATGATATGCTAAATTCAAACACTCAATCACAGAGAACTGATGAATATCATGCACACATGTAAAAGCATTGCAAAAAAGGTCACAAAGGAGAATACCGCTTGGCACATTCTCCAGGTCACAAATAGGTTCCACAAGTTTCTGCTGTACAGAGAGACAAAAGGAGACAGGACAGGGGCTGTTGTTCACGAGAGGAACCTCAATTGACCGACAGCTTCCAACCAGAATCTCCCCAACATCCAGAACCGCTTTCTCTGCCTGGGGAGTAAAACAAACATGGACACACTGCTTGGTTTGGTAATTCATGCTTCAAAAGGTGAATGTAACAGTTATTTGAATTTTCTTGAAACCTGACATACAGTCCCACAGCATACACACACAGAAAATCACACACAAACACAATGAAAGTCCCACCTCTATGAAGCCTTTAGAGCCCATTCCCACCACTTTAAGGGTAAGGTGTGACTTGTTAAATCCAGGTGTCTGGATCGGCCAGAAGGTGACAGTGGGTTTGAATGTGTATGTTTTTTCGGCCAGTGGGCTGAAAGACCATATTTGGGCCTGTAACATGAACCAGTGACAAACAAAAGTAAAAGAAAAGGTAAATCATTTCAGTTACTAAGATTTGTTTTTATCAGTTGCACAGGGTCTGTAAATGTATGTATGATTATTTCAGTCTCTCACTGAGCTCTCATTGGGATGCAGTTCGCCAGCATCTGGTTCAACAAAGATAAGCTCCTGGTCTGGGTCTGGAATGCTCCATTGGAATCTATCATAATGGACAATCACAGAAAGCCAGCTGTAGACAAGATTAATGGTTCTGGCATAAATCCAGACAACAAACAATACACTGTCAGAAATACAGAGCTGGGATAACAACCATGATGCCAACCAACCGTAAAGGTAGGCGGCTGAGGTTCCTGATGTGGTGGGAGCGCGTGGTCCGTGAGCCCACTGCTGTTGGGTGGAAATACAAACTGCTGTCTCCTTCCAAAGACACACACAGCTTTTCCACCACACTTACAACTTTCAGCTCCTAAAGGACACAAAGACAGACGCACTGAATGAAAAACCTGCAAGAAGAACCGTGTGGTGAGTGCTGCTGCTTCTGTCGCCTGCGTTCCCGTGTAGTTTATATAGTACCTTTGTGTGTTTAGCTGCATTGAGCTGAAAGTGTAAACTGAACCCCTGTTCGGGACTGTCTTCAGTGGGAGTTGTTCTGAGGGTGAGGATTTGGTGATTCCCAGGCTGGATCAGACCACAGTTCGGCACTACAAACACAGATTCTGCCAAGGCAGGATATGAGCTGTGGTCCAAACAGAAAGTCAGGGGTAGGTCTCCACAATTCTGGAGGAGTACTGTCCGATAAGAAAGAACACTAAGGGCTGGGAACACCTAGAAAGAACAAAATATTACAGTCACAGTTAGTGTATAGCAGTGCTACATAGTAATGTATACCTGTTTCAAAAGAAAGGTTGACAACACCTTAAACTTTTTTCTACCGGGAAATTATACATAAGATTAAATATCATCTTAACTCTTTGCTGTTTATTGAGAGAATGGCAAAACTACAGATAAAGGACAGACTCAAGGAAACAGATAATAGACAAAAAGAAAAAGAAAGATATACTGTAACATTTGTGTCTTTTTCATGCTTGTGTCTCACCACTCGAGGGGGCTTCAGTGAGCAGCATGGGATGAAATGCTCTTTGCCTGGCTGAAAGGAGTGGCCTATGACTCTGACAGTCACACACCAGGGTGGACACAGCAGTGGCTCCTCTATTTGCTTATTGTCTTGCAGCACCTGTTGCATGGAATTGTTCTGCTTGTCAACAGAGAGGGGAGACAAATTAGAAAAGGCCTCTGCAGGATTATTAACTGACATATTTTTTGAGACATTTATTTCAAAAAGATGGGCACCATCGCTTGATGTGATGGAATTGTTACTGTAGATAATAAATATTACCTTATAGAATGCAAAGCACTCAAGTTGTGCTGCGTGGAGAGTATTGAACTGCTTGGGGTCATAGGTCACTCTGAATGAGGTGGACTTCAGTGGAGCCAAGTCAAATGCCAAAGGAGCTACAGAGAACGGAGAGTCTTGGGGAACAGTCCACACCAGGCTGAAGCAGAATCACATGCAACAGAAATCAGACTGAGCAAGAAAAACAATAAAACAGAAATTCTAGTCATGTTTCATATAGAACATGTGTGCCATAGTGAGAAGCCACAATCATGACATGCAAGGGTACCTGAGTTTCCCCCTGGTGTGGTTGGTGATGGAGACTGACTGAGAGGAAGTGGATGAAGTCAACAAAGAGGAGGACATTTTGTGATTAAATAGTAGCTCACTGGGCACCATGGATACATGTGGAGAAAATAAAGAACCGCAGGAGAGGGGATCCATGTACCCCATGCAGGTTTCGTAATATTCCTCCATGGGAGTTCTTGACATAGAACCAGCACTGTCTGGTCTCTGGTGTGACTGCTAGAGAATGACAAAGAGAAAGAGTCACAATACTAGACCTATACTGCACCCTTTCTTAGTGACATCTGCTGTTCATAAGCAAAATCTGCATATATTTCATCTGCCTTTAACACTTTACCTCCTCCAGGGGGCAGAGCACTCCCTGTTGGTCCAAGGGGACATTATGATCTGGCTGCATGGCACTGGGAGTGTCTGGCAGGTCCTGTCTGCGGTACCAGTGGAGCTTGTACAGAACCAAGTGTTCAGGTTTCAGTATGGCTGGTTGCTGATGCTCTGAGTGACAGGTACCAATCAGGTCAAGGAACATGGGGTCCTACAAAGGAGATGAGGTAGGTCAGTAGAATAAATAGTCTTGATGGGTTTTGTGCATGCTGTGAGTGTGTATGCATCTTCATATTGGCTCCTACCCTGTGCAGTATGAGACATGCCACTCTCCTGTGATGTGCAATAGGATATGTGGGCCTATAGACTGCCTTCAGTGTAATATGGCTCTGTGGGCGTAAGGTACCATTTGCTGGATGGATGCTGAAAACACTGTGCCCGCTACAGTCCAGGTCCCATTGGTAGATAGCGTCAACGGGCGAAGAATTAACCAGCTCCACTGTCTGTACGACTGCTTGTCCTTCTTCAACACAGCCAAAGTCCACCACAGAGGATGACAAGGAAACTTTGACACCTCCTTATAAAAAGAAATATTTGTTTCATACACATGTATCTCATTCTAGACTCTGAGTTAAAGTTGAAGAACTTGGTAGTGGGGTTTAGATTGTTTGACTTTCTGTGTGTCCCGTACCTGTACAGTTTCCAGTAAGTTTAAGCAGATTTTCATTGAGTGCCCCTCTACATTTTAGAGACAGGTACTCTACGGCGACAGTATCAACCACAGCAGGAGTATAGGTGACTGTAGCCCGTAGTGAGCCACCAGGCGCCACCTTACCCCTGGTGACATCACATCTGAACTCTGACCCCAATAAAGGCACCCCATTGGACAGGTGTAACAGAGAGAAAGACGCAGTTACCTGGAGGAAAGGGGCGAAAAGAGAGATGAGAGAGAAGGCCATTGAGAGTGTACATTTGAATTTGTGTATCTTTCTGCACTACTCACAGGAGAGGGGTTGAAGATATCGAAGTGTTTCTGCAAACTTTGGCCGACTGCCACGGAGCCAAAGTGCAGCACTGGACTACACTGTTCTTTTTCATCCTTGGTACTTGGATTTCTCAGCTGAAGACATGGGTACTTGGCTGAAAAATAAATTAGAGGTAAGATAAGAATCAAGTACAGTCAGGTAGTCAGAACCACATACATGGCATCCAAAATCTGTAGATCTATTAATCTCATTTAGTCCTGGCCCAGCTGTGAGTTACAGTACCTAGTCCCTGTAGGAGTACAGTGCAGCAGCTCTCTGCCTTGTCCCCTTCTTCTCCAAACCAGCAGCAGGCCTGTTGCTGGCACACCAGTGCCTCTTGTGGTCGGAAGATCACAGTGATGGGACACTCTTGGCCGGGCTTCAATAAGCCTTGCTCAGGGGCTAGCTGGAACGGTGCTGTGCACTGCCACTGGAAGCATGTCTGGAGTTTACTGTGGGAAGAAGAGTATGCAGAGAAATGTGGAAGACACACAAGAAGGAGAGAGGGAGAATGGGATTTATTAACAAGAGTACAGTGAAGTCAAAGGGGAGAGAGTGAAGAGTATGACATCATTTGTTTACCTCCTTGCTGAAAAGCACAAACACACAGGTGAGAACATGAACACACAAATACTTAAAATAATTTGTACAAAACATTTTTCATCCCTTCTTTTCTTCTGCATTAGTTATATGCACCTGACATTCTTGAGCAGGAACGTAGTATGTGAGGAGTGCTGAACAGCACAGAGTGGCAGCAGCACAGAGTCGGGCAACTCCAGGGCATGGCAGGGAATTATGGCACGGAGGCATACTTGGAAGCTGCCATCTTTACCTTGAAACTCAATGCTGTCTTCATACTCACACTGTCCCAAGCAGATGAAGACATTAAACAGGTGAAGTAGATCATGTTACATGTCTTTAATTATTAATTTTAACTATGAATAACAATCTGTATATGCCATATATATCTTTCTCTGCTCAACAAAGAGTGTAGATCCATAAAAAATAATAATGGGCTAGATTTTTGTTACTGAAAGTCAAATTATTTAGACTTACAGTACCTGACCATTTTTAATGAAGAGACTGCAAACGTATTTGTCTGGAAAAGTCAATTCAGCCCACATATAAAAGCCTTGGGGGAACAATACTTTCAAACTACTGATAAGATCTACTAATAGTGTGTAAGTTTGTGATGTGTTACCTTCTGGAGTGGTCTAAAGATGACTGGCATTGAAAAAGAAGTCCCTGGGCTGAGAACAATTGTCTGGGGAATCATGGTGGTGAAAAACTTGGACACAGGAGGCCTGTAAGGGGGCAAAGATAAAATATGATAGATTCTGGATACTCTTAAAATGTAGAGTGCAGTGTTTGAAACTAGTGTGTGTTTGTAAGACCTGACGTGTAGCTTCTGCAACTTGCTATGAATATTCTTTAACACTAATGTCTTGGTGAACTCTCTTCGCAGGTCCCAGTCCTCCCAGACCAGCTCTGGCTTAATTTCCAACCCTAAGAAGCAGCTTCTTTGGCTTGACGCTTGTCGCTGGTGCTTTCCACCCTTTTGCCTCTGGTGTATCCCTGGATCCTGAAGGGTGGGGCGTTGCAGAAGATGTGAGTTTAGAAAAAGATAAATAACTTTTCAAGTAACTGCAGAAGATACCCTGCAGACATTATAGATTGAACATGTAGTATTTCATGTTTATTGCAGAGCTTACACGGCCATACTAAGAGTCCACATTCTCTAGGAGCGCAGAGTTATGTAATTCAGACTCAAATGTTTTGTGCTAGCATGATATTGTGGGAGAGACCAGTAAGGAATCATAAATCAATCGATGTGTCAGAATAACTAATAATTAATACGCAGATTAGGTCAATTTTATTTCAGTCCACCAGTTAATGTGAAGCTATTGTAACTGCTTTAGGACATACAAAATATACGTTTGCTAACTGTGATCAATTTCATTAAGGACTTGTATGGTGCATCCTCTCTGCCACAGGCCCTTCAATACCATCCTAATTATAGGCATATAAACAGGCAGAGAAAAAAGACAGACAGCTTTATAATAAAATATAGACTTAATAGATTGCTGTGGCTAATGGACCGTTTCGGTTATTCAGAGTGTGATATAGCTATAAACGGATATAAACAAATTTAACACAGAAGTTCAGTGAAACTTCAACAAAGCATCTGTTAGGAAAAACGAGCTACAAGTTCCTAATGATACCAAGCTGTTTAGATTCATATGTGAGTTACTTTGATATCTTTCCCAGAGGTGGAGGGCGTCCACTGTGCTCCTGAACCCCGAGCCTCAGCTAACATGGCTGGAAAAAAGAGAGAATTTAAACATTTAACACATTTAAAACATATAAGACACAGAGGAAAGTTTCTGGTTGCTGGCGTGTACCGTCGTTTTGAGAGTTTGTAACGTTACACAGTGGACATAACGTTATTTATACCAGCCCCACAATAAGAGCTGTCTAAATCTAACGTTAACTTACATTTAAGACCACGTTGACAGGAGTGTTTACGCTAACTATTAGTGAACAGATATTGCTGAACTAAACAGAACTGGTCAAACAGACTCGCGTTAGACTATTTCTAATTCTTACCTTCTTTCAAAAGTCAAAGAAAATAGCTTTCAAACTACTTTTTATCCCATCTGAGTTGTGAAAACACCGCTAACAGTCACCTGTATGCGCAAGCGAAGTTTTGTCTGCCACAATGTTACCTTGGCAACAAGCAATTGTTTGCGTCGCCATAGTTATTACGGCAGCCGAGGAGGGCCACTTGCAATTTGCGAAATGGTGCTACGCAATGGAGAATGTAAATATATGGAGCATGATGTGAAGAGTTAGAATTATTAAGAATAGTAATAGTAATTATTGTCCTTAATTAATGGCGTTATTACCTTCGAACCAGAAATAACCGTTTAATTGTAAATTACATATATTGGCATTCACTCTCTCAGTCTGAATTTATTGGACATATAGAAGACGGGCTCAACAACACATGAACTCAGCTTTATTTTTCTTCAAGTTGTTCCTCTCCACACAAAAAAAAAAACTACTAGTGTTGATTTTAAAGTGAAATATATTAAATTCTATAATGTTAAATTATATTGACAACATAACACGCTTAATATGAGTTCACAAAATACAGGGAAAATGCCATATTAATAGTAACTTTGAAATACAATACGGGCAGACATTTCTTTGTGTGTGTGTGTGTGGCTTTAACTAAATATAACATGCAGTTTCAAGAACATAATACAAAACATAGAGTTGAATATTGTACAACAAAAGTTCATGACCACATAGTCAAAACAGTATTACAATAGCCACTGTAGCGTTTTTCTTGCCACGCATAATGCCCTAGAACTTTAACGGGGTGAATATGAATCCATTATTTTGTAAATTCTTCTTACAGATATAAAAAGTTGAATATTAGTGGAATATTTGTCCAGCATTTGTAACAGACCAGGACGCACTGATAACAATGTAACACTCTTTACAACATGAGTCTCCAAGTTAATTTTTATGTCTCTTTTTCCACTACCCTCCATGAAAGTGCTATTACCCCCCAGTACATACAGTTTAAGTACATTTACATTCATAGATAAATTAGTCAATTGCAGAAAGGAGCATAAGCTTTCAGTTTGTTTTTTTTAAATTACAAGTAAATCATGCACAAAAATTCCCGTTGTAAGTCTTAATTATTTTTGGATTCTGAAGTCATAACTCAGATGAATTACTAAACCAATAAATGTCAAATTTTCATATCCAGCCCAATGTGTATATCTTTTTGCTAATTTGGGAGCTCCAGATACACATATGGCACTTTGGATTGGGCTGTTAACTATGAATGATCCTCTTCATGCCACAATGTTTGTGCACCAGATTGCACTGTGTATTGTCTTCTCAAGAGTAATAAACATAAAAAGACGTATAATAAAAGCATGCTGAACTTTATAACTATGGGAAAACCCCACATCTTGTTCTTGGGCCACCCTCCTCCAGCTCCTCCTCTGAGTAAGAGCTGTAGTTCCCTGTTCCTCCTCCAGCATGCCTCATGAAGCCTGCAGAGCCTAAAGAACCTGCTCTCAGCACCTCTATCTCCTCTTTTTCATCTTCATCCTCCCCTTCAACCTCCTCTTCGTCCTCTAGGCTTGAGCAGTGTGAATCACTCTGAGGCTTGGCGTTATGTATATCCATCCCTGTTCTTTCCGTGTCAGTCAGTGGGGATGTTGCGTTTGCTTGTTCCTTGGCTTTGCGACTTCTCTTCCACTTCATACGTCTGTTCTGGAACCAGATCTTAACCTGGGGAAAGACGACAGGAATCATGAGAGTTAAACTGTGTAAAGACATTGACTTATGTAGGTTTCAAACTAAAATGTGTGTTCTCCTTCTCTTTAGGGGGTTTATTGCAGGGGAGGAGAATAATTGCCAGTGGTAAGTAAAATGGGCCAGGATTTCACTGGGTTTATAATTACTTTAGGTTTATTAAACAGATGTTTCACCAAAATAATATAAAGTATTTTTACCTCTTTACCTTTGTGGCCATGCAAAAAATTACATCATAGCATCATATAGAAGCTACAGTATGTTGTACAGTATGCTTTAACAATGACTGCATTGTAGTATCAGCTGGTGACCAGTTTCACACTTTTCTTTCCACTTGCCATGCTGCTGACTGCACATTTTGTAGCATTATGGTTTGACTAAATTAGCCTGAAAAACTTTATTATGATTTTTCCCCCAATATCCATTTTGAGATAGAACTAAGCTTTTTTGAAGTGCCAACAGATTCAGTTTTAGACTTTCTATGGCTGATAGAACTGATATTCTGGGGTAATGCTGTAGCAGATAAGTGATTTCACTGTATTCTTTGCAGCTCAATACAGTAAAGTGGATCAGCATGAACCTGTGTATAATTTGACAGAGACTAGGAGGGGTTGGAGAATATACTAGATATATACTATACTATAACTAGAATAATGTACCATTTCTTACAGTAATTCAATAAAGCATCCTACAGGCTCTGACTCACCTGAGTCTCAGTCAGCATGAGCGAAGTGGCCACCTCAAAGCGTTTAGGCCTGGACAAGTACTTGTTGAGCTTGAACTGGTTTTCTAATTCCAGCAACTGCTGGCTGGTGAACGCTGTCCTGGGCCTCCGACACTTCCCGAACATACCTGCCTGGCCCGGGGCTGAGAGAAGAAAACAGACAGAGGCAGAGACAACCCGGAGCAGAGAGAGGGGTTATTATTTATAATCTGTACATATTTACATTTGTATCATTTTCATCTATTTCTATAAAAGCAATACCCCTATTTCTTTGATTATGAATGTTGAACCTATAAGTGAAATAGGCCTACAGCAGCAAAGGATAGAAAAAAAGAAAGAAAGAAAGAAAGAAAGAAAGAAAGAAAGAAAGAAAGAAAACCTTTGACAGATGTTTGACAGATGTTTTTCGAATAAATGTCCGAACCATTTCATTGTTTGGATTCCTTAGGCCTACCTGCCTGCCTGTCTTCCTGCCCATATATCATGCTTTAACGTTTATTGTTGTGATGTGAGGTCGTGGTGAGAGGATATTGCTTTGGAGGGGTAATAAACCATCACAGAGCACCATTACCTTAATGAAAACACTGTAAATGTTATCAATTGATTAAGTAGTAGGTCTATTTCAGGTGTTACCTTTACCGTAAATGCTGCGCTTTATTTTTATGAGATTAATTGTCCTTAAGCGACAGCATCTCAATGTCACAGTGTCAGGGTCCTTTCAAAACCAACACACAGGTGTTAGGAGACATTAAAAAAACAAAAACACAAATTGGTTTTCACAAGGAAACATCTTGGCGTTTACTTTAAATTGAAAATTTAAATAAAAGGAAACAATGTATGATCCATTTGATTTTAATCTAGTCTAAGCTGGTGTACTGTTCATATATCCTGTATTTTAAGGTTTGTGCGTAAATTAGCACTTTATGCATGTTATTATTATATATATTTTTTTAAAATAAGACAAAAGAATACATTGTAATTAAATATTTACTCTACAGTTAGACACATAATAATAGGCTATGACATAATTATTATAAAAATGTCGAGTAATATATTATTATTATTATTTATTTTTTTAAGCTTAACTGACTATGACCTTTAAAACTGCCATGCCATTAAATAGGATTGTTCAAACTCTGATGCCCAAATTCAGAGGTGGATAAACATGATGCACTTTGGTTCTTTCATAAGTTACACCAACTAAGAATGATAAAGTTTTTAACTGCGGGAGACAGTGAGATCTGGCTCACCTCCATACTCGCTCACTCTGGGTATCATCATCCCGGCTCTGATCCAGTGCTCCAGCGGGAACGTCGCGGCCATGGTGGCCCCCTTCAGCTGCTCGGGGTATGGTTGGACCAGCTGCGTGAAGCCGGGGTACATGAAGGCGTGGTGCTGTCCTCCGAGGGCCGCCAGAGGGTACATGGAGCCCGGGTGCATTCCGAGGAGACCCCCTTGGTGCAGAGCACTGAAGCCTGTCTGGGACAAGTTGAAGAGCTGGGATTTTGACAGGAGTCCTGGCTGGACTAGAGAGGAGTTTGTTGGGTTTAGATGAGGGGAGGGCGTCTCTGAGCCGCGGTTTGACACCGGACTGCCGCCGGGGCTCCTGCTGTAATACAACCCCGGGGACGCACGGTCGCTGTCTGTCCTCTGTTCCACGTCGTGCGCCAGAAGCGCATCAATGCGAAAGTTTTTAGATTTCTCCATAGTGGTGGTCATCCTGTCCCACGACGTCTCCAATTAACAGCAGATGAAAATTTGCTTGAAAAACAACTTCTGTTCTAGTTAATATCTTGGATTCACAATTTTAACCTGAGAAATAAACCGCTCTTTTGAACTTTAAATCTCTAATTCTTAAACACTCGAGGTCCGCTCTTAAAGTTAACAGAGTTAACCGCTATTCTCCTCTTCCCTGACGAAATGTCTTCTTACTGACCCACTCCACTTAAGCCCTGTGCGTAAAGACCACTTGACTCACTCCAGCAGTTAGCTGAAAAATTACTGGCACACAAAAGCTATAAAGTTTGCTCCGTTGTGATTGGCCAGAGCCCCGCAGCACAGGGGCAGGATATACTCCTGCTTAAAACAACTTCATTAGGCATTGATTGGTGCACTCATATATCAGCTCTGGGTTGAATTTCAGACAAATACAGCAAAGTATAAGTCTTAACATGAGCGTTGTGACAATAACTTAATGATATACCAGGAGGTTCAAAATATGTTCTAGTTATTAATTCATTCTTAAGCAGTGTTGGGCTAGTTATTCAAGAAATGTAATAAATTAATCATTACTCTTTTAAAAAGTAATATAATTACTTTATTTATCTGTCCCTGCCAACAGTAATTCGTTACACAACTAGTTATATTACTTTTCTTCTACTCCCTAGAGAACTGGTCATTGTGTCCTTTCTCAGATTTATGGCGATTCAAATGCAGTTTTGTCTGTTGAAATCAAAGTAATGGAATATTTCAAGCTGCTGAATTTTTCCGTCTTCCAGACTAGTTTCCTCCACGATTACTAAAATGAATCCAAGGATATGATTGGATTGTTGGATTTCAAATCAGTAGAGGGTGACAAAAAAAGTAATATTGTAACTAATTCTTTGTTGGAGGATTCACTGTAATATTATTACTAAAATGTATTAGTAATTAGTTACACTACTAGTTACTGAGAAAAG